TTTTTTTAGATAAAATTTGGCTGTGCTGTAATGTTTATAAAAGGTTCTTCAATTTTGTTTAATATTCAATACTTTTTAATGAAATTTTATGTTTGATGGTGTGCTTAATCACTGAGATTGAATCCATTTTTAAGAAAATCACTCTGATTTATATGAATTCAGCCATTCATTGATTAAATGGGTGTAATTTACATATCTACCCCATATTTAATCACTAAACCCGGCTTTTTATCATACTAATAATATAAATATTAAAACTGTTAAGGATGTGGATCCCCTCTTCTACTTTCACGTGCAGTAGGTTTCATTCATAGCTACAAAAAGTGACAGGACATGAAACCTTTTAGTTCTAATTAAATTAAAAGCCCTTGATTCAAATGATAAATATTATATTTACAATCTTGTTTGGGAAAAACTAACTGAACTTAACATAAATATTATATTTATTTGTTGCCATTAATTTGTATTTTTGAGTTTGGTAAATCTGTAAAAATATTTATTTTGCTTTCACAGGTTAGGAAGGAGAAGCTTGGTGATAGAATAACAGCCCTTCACCAATTGGTTTCCCCATTTGGAAAGGTAGTAGACCGTCAGTATTACTTTTTTTTAGAGTTTTCTAGATGGGTAAAAGCAACTCTAGACTTATTTTAATGAAATTAACCCTGTGTAATTCGAAAAAATATTAACTCAGGTATTTTAATGAAATTAACCCTGTGTAATTCGAAAAATATTAACTCAGCGTATTGATGCATCAGTACTCCAATGAAGAGGTGCCACGTATAAAATGGTCCCACCATAATGTCACGTGACATCTCCTCATTGGAGTATTGATGCATCAGTACTCCTGAGGTAATATTTTTTTAGACATCTCCTCATTGGAGTATTGATGCATCAGTACTTTTGAGGTAATATTTTTTTTGTGTAATTCAGCATTTACACATTTAACAGTACTTTCACTAATATGTTTAAATTTGATTAGGGGCATCTACATAGGTACAATTACATGTCTTAACACATAAATTTGCCTTTTTTATAATTATACCATCTAAATCATTCATATCACATATAAAATAACTTTATTTTAACTTTTGAAAAGGTGGAATGCGCTTTTCTTGTATAGATAAAATGATATAAATGTAAATATATAAGTTTAGGAGTTAGATATGTAAATATGTATGTAAGACTTATTGATTACTCCTTCCACCTTCTTCCATTTGACAAGAATAAAGAAATCTAACTTGGGCTACCTCCTTTTGCAGACTGACACAGCTTCTGTACTGCTTGAGGCTTTTGGCTATATTAGATTCCTTCATAGTCAAATTGAGGTCCAACCCCCCTTCTCTCTCTCTCTCTCTCTACCAAATGCTCTTTTGTTAGTAATCTTTAACATGCATACATATAAATTAAACATCATTATCATGATGAAATTGAACTCCCATATTCAAAATAAATATATCAAACCCCAAATCCTCTGATCAAGTCTCTCTCTCTCTCTACTGTCAAAGTATGGGGATTCTGAACCAGAAGGAAGTGAAAGAAAAGGAGGAGATGGAATTCAGAGCACGCAAATAAAGTTATGGGATGGGCAAAGATTAAATTTTTTATTCATGTGGCAAACTTTTTGTTTTTGTTTTGTAGTGTTGTTAGATATTATTATCCTATGCTCCTTTACACTGCATTCCATCGCTTTTTTGCTCTGTTTTTGTAGGCTCTCAGCTCCCTGTACTTGGCAACAGGATCTGGGAACATGAAGCAACCTGTAAGTAAATTCCAATCAATTCATCTCTCTCTCTCTCTCTCTCTCTCTCTCATTTACATATTTCAGTAGTTTTTTCCCTCTGCTGCTTAAATTGCATGGAAGTTTGTTGGATATGAGGCAACGGACTACAGTAGTTATCAGATGTTGCTAATTAATGAGATTTGTGCATGTGTTTCAGTACCTGGGAGCATGGGGAAGATGAAGTTTTTGGAGTAATGATAAACTCCTTATCTAAATTAACATAAAAAATTTGATGATGATTTGAATATTTATATTATTTTTTGTAACTGTGAATAATGAATGCTGAAAATGGTGCATAAAAATTAAATTTTGAAACTTTGATGTACTAAATTTATTTGAGGAGTATGATATTATTGTGGGGCATTTAAATACAGCCACACAATTCTTATGTATTTACACATATAACATTTGTGCTTTCAAATTTAGACTCATAACACTCAAATTTTTAATATCATATAAGAAGTATTATTATTATTAGCTTTTTAAAAGTGAAGTATATTCTTTTCATGCATAGGTTTAAGACATTAGATATGTAAATATATAAGCTTTAATTGTTTGGTAGGCATGTAAATAGCATCTTAAGAATAATTTGGCCAAGTAGTAGGGTTTATATTGCTTTAGAAAGAAGAGGACAATGCACATCAGTCTTTATTAGTGTTCTTCTTATTCAATATGGTTTGTCAAATATGCCAATCAAATGATATGTAATATCTAATTCATGACATAAATTGTCTTGCAAATAAAAGTTGTGTGTAGTAGAAATTGTCATTTTATTCAATTTGACAAACCTTTAAATAGACAGCCAAGTTCTACTTGCAATAAAAAATTGCATAAATCTTTAGTCAAATTGATAAAGTGTAAATATTATTGTGCATGTGATGAATTTTCATTTTTATTTTTTTTTTCAATTAATAAATAATATTATTATTAGTGTTCTTAAAAGTTAATTTTTAACTTTTTTTTTTCTCAAAAGTTGCAATTATCTACCATTTTATGAAAAAAAAAATTAAAAAATTTGATATCATCATACATTGCTTCTATTTGGGGCAGCGGTGCGGTAGTATTTTCAAAACTCACCGTGGTTTTGACTGTTTAGATAATCTGTGTTTTGACAGTTTTTAAAAAAATGTTTTCACATCAGTTCTGACTAGGTGCATTGACAGCTTTCTAGCTGTAGTTTGGCTTATTAAAAAAAAGTGTGATAATCACCCCAATTTTTTGATCATCAGATTATGTTTCAGTAACTTTATAGTTGATTTTTAATAAGCTATGATTTTTTTACCTAAAAAATATTGTAATAGCTACATCTATTAAAAAAAATTTGAATAGCACTACTCTAGTGCTTTTAGCGCTTTTTTTAAAGCAGAAAGGCATTAAAATCTATCGCTTTACAGCCATTAGGAGCTCTTCAGTTAAAGCCATAGAGCTTAAAAGCATTGTCATCTTTATGTGCTTAGAGACTCTTTCTTTGCTGCCTAATTACAATTATTACAATTATTAAAAGCATTGTCATCTGTAGTTGATTTTCTTAGTCAACTAAAGCGCAGCTAATCACCAAATTAATACTAATTTCTAACAATAATCACAGTATTTTATGAGTAGTGATCACTTTCATCATTGTCATAATGAGTTATGATGGTCTATTTTCTTACATTTATACCACCCAA